CCTTCTTAGTGTACATTCTGTTGACGTACCCTATTAAAACGCAATCAAAAACGCAAAAACCCGCATCTAAAATAGTATAAATAGAAGCAGAGTTTTTTTACCGTAAGCCTTAATCCCGTCCATCTCCCAGGGGGATTTCGACATGTATATTATATAAAAACACGTGCGCATTCGAATGCAGCGTTGTGTCAAAATTTCAAAGGAATCGGTAGGAACAAACGAACAATACATTTTTATTTATATAAATAGATAGAAGATGATCCACTTTAGTTCATTTTCACAGAAAAGCGTAATGCCTCGCAGAAAAGCAAACTTAGGGCGTCGTACTCGTAGCGCCATCTGTTGGACATAAAAGCCTTAACCTAGCTTATATCTTTTAATTTATATGAACGTTTAACGGAATAATATACAGCCTATGTCCACCCTGAAGTTCCATTCTAAATACTGGTAAAAGAATTTTTGAAATCGGATGAGTAGTTTCGGAGATTACCTGCTATATCCAAACGTACTTATCCAAACGTATCTGGCACTTCAGTCACTTCCATTAGCAATTCCAATTTAGGACTACCACTAGCCAATGGATAAAATCACTCAATTTTGGTAGTAGATCGCGCTCGCACCTATAAAAAGGCTGGACGCTTTTCAAATTTTCTTCACTTGTCTCATATCTGAATAGGGTCCAGTTTCCTATTGAAAGTTCTCCCGAGAAGCACCCATTGGAAGATCGTCCTTGCTTTAAGTTGCTTTTCCTCCAGCAAATCAAGCTAAAACATTAAAGTTATAATTTAATTATTCGTTAATGATAATTAAGAATACAATTTGCAAGAATCTTGATTGTGTAAATTTTTATTTTCGTTTTAAATTTGAAAAAATAATTTTGTCTTTCATAAATAAAAATTATGCGTAAATAAATAATGTTATTTAATAACAGTTACTAATCTTTATGATAAATACTTTAATGAAATTTGTTAAAATAATTTAATAATTCTTTAACGTTCGATTTAATCGCATGTAGCAATTGTAAATCTCTCTATTGGAGAAAATGGAGAAAAGTTAACGGTCGTAGGATGTAGGATGTAACAAATGGGGATAAAAAAACAAAGGAATGCAACACATATGCGATCTGGCAAGGAGGAGTGTTTTCTAGGAGGGTTTTTATGGGAAACTGATTCCTATTTAGATGTTAAATATATAAAGAAAACCCAAACAACTCCACGTGGTGAAGCCTGAACCCGTGACCAATATCGGTTTTCAGTGACTTTATCCCTCAGCCACCAGTGAAGAAAATAAGGAAATGGAAGGAAATAGGAATAAATGTACCTTTAGAGATTATGTATTATACTGTAGACAAGCTGTATCATTTTTTTTTCTTTATTTTTTTGTAATCATCCTTCAGGAAATCCCTTGAAGGAACTTCGAAAGGAAAAAGACCTTTCTGAAAGTACTATAAGTGAAAAAAGGGAAAGAGATAGGAGGAAAAAATGATAAGTGGTTTGTGATAGTTGGAGTTAGCCCTTATTCAAAAATAAAGCCTTTTCAAAATAGGAATGGAAAGAATTCTATCGGTTTACTAGGAATAGTAGAGGAGGAGGAAGAGGATCATTTGCAGATTTTATTTACACTGTTGTTGCTATATACAAAAATACTTTCAATAAAATATTATTATATAATTTTCACTTAATTTTAAAAACATATATACTTCTGCGCATTTCCTCTAATAAAATTATGAAATATTCCGAATTTTCCTCGTTATAAATGAGAAATGTACTATACAATTTAATTACAAATTAATTATTAAGAATCAAATTGAAATGAAATTCATTCTCTTGTAAAATTCGTTAAATTTTGTCACTTCAGTAGAAATTTCTCATCTATTCGAATATAATTAGCAAGAATTCCATACGATACCCGCATAAATCTGTTTGTCCTCATTGCTGTTGTTGAATAATTTTATTAGAAAATATGTGTTTATTCGACCGAAATCTTTAAAGCAGCGATTCCCAACCTGTGGTACGCGTACCCCTAGGGGTACGCGATAGGTTGTTTAGGGGTACAGAAAAAAGTTAGTTATTATGGCAGAAAAAACAATATATTATGTATCACAAACTAATAGTATTAAAAAATTATTAGATAAATAATGTTCCTTGCAACAATCACAACTTTATTATACATTTTTTCTTTTAGTTTTTTTTTTCTTTAATTTAAAGTTACAATATGTAAATTTAACAATACGGTTACTCACTAAATTTCTTAAATGAGGGGTACAATCTAGAGATATGACATGTCACGGGGTACAATCTAGAGATATAGCATGTCACCGGGTACACTAATGAAAAAAGGTTGGGAACCACTGCTTTAAAGAGTATCGAATCAATAATAATAATCTTCTGTATGTGACGTATAATGTATTCTGTATACACGTAGTATGTATATATATTGTGTGCTGAAGAAGACAAGAAGGTTACAAATGTAGAGTCTCAACTTTCTTTGAAAGCCGTAAAAATATGTGAATAAAATCAAGTAACAAATAATAAACATATTTTTATTCACTTAAACAAAATAAACTTTTATTTGGATCGCTTTTACGTTATTTTTTTATATAAAAGGCGAAATTTTGGACTCTTCTGTGTGTGGGTGTCTGTAAGGGACCCAAACAGGGCACTTGCCCCATCCTGGAATCTAATAAAAAATTCCACAAATTATAATCGTAAAGTGATGGAGACCAACTTTACACCCTCGACCATGAGACGATTTGTTCAGCTTTTTGTATTCAATAATCTACTTGTGAAAAACCCAACAAATTAAATAATTAAATGAAAATCTATTGTAATTATTTACACCCATTAATGGCCGAGTGGATAAAACCACTGAACAATGGTAGTTGGTCGTGTGTTCATGCCTCGCCAAGGGATGACGTGGAGTTTTCCGGGTTTTCTTTACATTTGTAACCCCAAACTAGGAGTGTTCCCATAAAAAGTCCTTAGGAGGCACCCCCTCGGAAGATCGTTCACGTGTCGCATTGCCGTAAACAAATAAATATTGTAATTATTTACATTATATATTTTGTAATTATTTGAAGACAAACAATCACAATTATTTGTCTCCAAACTTTACCTCCTGGGAATTTTCTGTGGACGATCATGCTTCTGCGTTCGGGGCAGCCAATTATTATTTGATATTAAATTGTACTTCTATATATATTAAAGATTTTGTCATAAACTTTAATTTATTATTAAAGTAATTAAATTATTAAACACTGTACTGAATCATAGTACGACGATGGATCGACTTTCGAATGCCAGAGCGGTTAACTCTTTCAGCCCTGTGGGCTGAAAGAGTTAACCGCTCTGGCCTTAAGGCCTTTTTTAAGGAAGCTCTTATGGTTTCGGTCAGGTCCATAATGGGGCGGCGGGGTGGTGAGACATGGAAAATTCTTGGAGCTTTTTCGATCCGGTTCCCCCAGAGCAGTAGGCTGCCATCTTGACCGCTCGACCATCAGGCCTACAGAATCTTATATTGAAAACATTTACTTTTAGATATTAAAATAACGGCATAGTATTAATAAACTCTAAAATTTTCTTCAATACATTTTTTAAACTCAGCCCTGTAGGCTCACAATGAGGCAGCCAGATGATGAGTGACGGGCCCTACATATCCGGACGGACTACTTTCCCAAAAAATTTCTTGGGTTTTTGACCCATTCAGATTTGATTCCGAGTCCCCTAGAGCAGTGGCTTGCCAAATGTTGTGTACTACAATATAATACAGGTTTCCAAGTATCCTGTTTCGCTTACTCGTTGAGGATCTCAGTATATTCAAAAGAAAACAAAAACATCGTTAAAAATAATAATAATTGACAAAATAATTAAATAAATAAAAGGCATTTTCCTTAATGTACAAGATAAAGGAAGACCGAATGGCGGAGTGGTTAAGATGTTTTTGAAATTTTTCAAGAGTTGTCCATTGCGGATTATCCAGGACCATAATGGAGTCCAGGTGATTCGGGACCCCACCATTTGGCCGCCCCATTGTGGATCTGGCCCAACCCGTAATGGGTTCGCTAAAAATGCCTTATTAGAGTGAAGGCTTCCTCGCAGGGCCTCTTTCCATGTATATTAGATAAAGCTCATATCACAGGTCGCCTTCTACCAACTTACAAGGCCTCTTCTTTATAAATTATATTATATATATAGAAAGAGGCCCGTAATTTCACGCTTATTCAGGATCTCGTCAATCAAAAAGCCATCACTTGTCACGAAAATAAAACTTGTTCGTAAACACAGGTTCTTAATTAAGTAAAGACATTTTAAATTAATATTATAAAATATTTAATTAATTAATAAGTCTCGAAGACTCCCTTAAAACTTAGACTATTTTTAGTATAAAACGTTCGAAAGTGTGTTACAGGGAGGAGTCATTTATTAAGAAAATATCGATCAAGTGTCAAATGTATTTAACATTAAGTAGAATGTAACAAGGCAGAAAATCTAATTTAATAAAATTCCCTAACGAGTTTCTTTTTTAATTCAAATAAAAAGTAAAAATAAATAAATAAATAAACTTTTTGTATAAAAAGGGTGGCCCAAAAGTCCGTTTAAAGTGCTTTATTTCGCTAAAGTAAAGCTTTTAAGCAATGAAACGCTGTATTCTCTGTAGTGATTAACCGACTTTTGGGCCACCCTCCGTATACGCTAATAATTATCGCTCTATACATACTTCAGTTACTTAAAGAATTTTTTTTAAAGTAAAAAATGACCTTGGAAGTATTTTATAAGGGAAGAAATTACTGGAATTATAGAAAGAATAGCAAATATCTTCTTATAAATTTTTTCCTATAATTTTATATTTAATGTATTCTATTCGTATATTTTTATCTTTTTATGTATTTCTATATTTCCTAAAAACGAATGATGATCTTATGATATAGTGGATTTTATTTTAATGCATTTTTCCCCCCTGGATTTTTGAATTTATTTAGTCTACAAAACTGTAATAAATCCTAACATATATATCCTTGAACTCTATATAATTTGTTTTTTTGATTGATTTTCTGTATTTTTTTTCTTTCGATTGTTCTTTTAATGCTCTATTAAATAATTTATTTAATTTATTTAAGTTTTGTTGTTTCTATATTTTGTATGTTATCGCATTGTAGCTTCGCGGGGCCCCATGTACAGTGTTGACTTCAAACATTTTTCTTGGGGAGAATGTTTTAGGGAAAATATTTTTTAATAGAAGATCGGTTTGGGTTCCTTGTCGGTGGGGGCCCCAGGCAATTGCCTTTTTTTCTATATGATAACATGCCACTGATTATAGAGTAGAGTATAATAAAGTCCCTACACACGCTACCCTCTATTTTTTACGAAAAATTTCTGTTTTCCATTCTTTTAGGTATTTTCTTCCATTTTTAGCAGTTAGAAGCAACTAAAATAATAATATCTAACAGCATTTTAAGGCCCTCAATGGATGAAACATTTAGTTGCAAGGCCTCAAGTTGCGTGCTTCTTATTTGTAAAGTAATTTTATGTATGATGATATATCTCTTTCCACAGACTTATTTGTAATTTAACGTTATCTAGGTCATAATAAAGTAAAAAAATTCTTATAATTTCCTTTTTTTTTAATTACATGTATAGACATATCGATTTATATAGAAACGTAGATATTTATAGATGTTAATTAAATTTAAAAAATCTTTATTAAAATTAATTCTAGAATAAAATTCGGCAATAAAACTTTCACTGGAAGTTATTTTGACTGGAATATACGAGAAAATTCACGCATCACCCGTCATTCAAATGTCGAATTTCACGCCTCTAAACTCCGATTAAGTCAATTTAAAAAGTGGCAGACAGACACACAAACAAACTAAATTTATTTTTAATCAGAAAAAGAAACGAAAACAATTATTTTTAGTTAAATAAATTGTATTAAATGTATCAATTATACGAAACAACGTTACATTCATTGCCGGAATGATAAATTAAATAATGGAGGAAGACTCTACCAAAGTGTAATTTCCGGATACAGTTCTACTTCGCTAGATAATTTAACATTTTATAAATTACCGAAAAATAATGAAAATATTATTTTTAAAATTTTGATTTTCTTAAGGGTTTTTTACAAAAAGAAATTTAGCAAATTTTAGCCTGGGGAGGTGAATTTCCAATACACAAAATACTCACAGTTGTCATGGCAATATGTCTTCTAGCCTTGACACAAATAATGCTATTTTTATGGCGACCAAGTAATACAAACGTACAAAAAAAAAAAAAAAAGTTCCACTTTCATTACTTTCTCTCTTACTTCAACGATTTTTACTTTCACTATCGATTTCTACTTTCAAATATGTAAATGAGTAACGATTAACCATTAAAATGTTAAAAAAAACCGAATCAATTGTATAATAAACTACAGAAATTTACGATTGAAACAAATTTTGTTGTTCTTTTTATATTCTATTAGTCATTTACTTAGCTTTTTTTAAACATTTGAGTCATTCTTTATACTTGTTGGGGTCTTACTTAAGCTGTAAAATATAACATGACCTTTCCCTCTACCAAATATTAACGAATTTACACGCGTGAGGGCCTAAATGCTAAATGCTAAATGAGGGCCTCTACCAAATCATAAACGAATTTACACGAGTGAGTGTTGTTTAACTTACACGTAAATTATATGATTGTATTTTGTATATTATTCAGAGTAATCATAGAGTTATCGAGAGTTTGTACGGGTCCTGGGAATAGAGAAGGCCCTTTCCTTGTCTTTTCTTTGACCAAATATTAATAAAAATTGTCTTAAATATTTTATTTTCTATAGTAAAAATAACGCTAATTGTATAGGAACCACTACGGGCCTCTAAGTTTTCTCGGAATGCGGGGAAAAACCCCATCTCGAAGGCCCGCAAAATCCCTAGTTAGAAATTATCAGTATTTTTCCTTATTCTTCCACAAATTTTAATTTTTCTCCTTGTTGTTCTGGGCTTCACCTTCCATATTGGTGAATGGAATTAATTAAAGCAGTGGCTTATAAGGAATCATTGAGATTTACAATGCCCCAAAGCTAACTGGAACAATGGAGAAACTAAATACAAGTTAATCATTTTGTTTTCTATGGTGTTCATTATACCAAAGCTTTGACAAGCGAGTAAAACAATATAATTAACCAAGGACACATTACGTTCTGAGTTAATTACAGTATATTTCTGATAAGTCTCAAGGATAGGGACTTTGTGGCGCTCTGTTACTTCATATTACATACACAGTTCATTCGTCATCATTATAAAAAAATAAATTTCAAAAAATCGTAATTTTACATTAATATAATTCTGTATTTTTTTTAAAAGTATTTTCTTTGTTTTTTAACTCAGAATTTATTATTAATTTTCTTCAAAAAATCAAAATAATAAAAAAAAATAATAATAATTCTAATAGATCGAGTGAATAAAATTTTCACACAAATTATAATTATAAAAGATACACAGTGGCTCTAAAATCAGTTAACCATATTTTATTTATGTGGCCAAAAAAACGGGCAAGTTTTTTTGTGAAGTGTTTGAACACTAGTTAACTGACTTTTGATCCACCCTATATATTTAGGAAGTCATCAATTATTTTATCTACTCGTTTTTAATTTATTTAGCTGTAATTTTACTCATTTCTAATGTAATTATTTATAGTATATAAATCAAGAAAACAGAGAAAAAAATAAACTATATATTCCCATCATTCAATAATTTATTATAAATAATCATTTATTCAGCAAGGTTGATGTTTATATTAGGACAAGTAACAAATATTTTTTTTTTTTTTTTTTTTGGTTTTTCACATATGCAGAAACCAATCACGTGATGTTTTTTTTTGCATTTTTACACAACTAACAACGAATTTTTTAAGGTATTAAATATTACAACCCAACAATATTATAATTGAATTGTGCTATATACAACAACACATCATTTTTTATGAATTTTTTTCTTATGAATTTACAATCATTTTCTTAATTAAATTTGTACTAAAATATGATATATATGTGTGTATATATATATATATATATTGTTATAGAAGAATACAATTATTTTAAATGCCAAAAAAAAAAGATTTAATCAAGAATTAACACACGAAATTGATGGGAACCATTAGAAATTTTTATCAATTTTTGTTTTCTTTTTTTAGCTTCAGCGTATGATATTAACAATAAACAGAATAGATTAATATCCCGTGTTTAAGTACTACCTCTAATTAACGTAAACAAAATCATAAATTCGGTGTATAATGGTATCAGGGGGATAATCATTGTAATTATAGGAACTACTTCATCCAAAAATTGACGACACGTTAACGAAAATTTAAAATACAATTAGATATACACAGTATAAGCAACACTTCGAATCTGGAACAGCAATGAATTCTTCCATGTTTTTAAATATTGTGTGGTTTTTATTTTTTATTTTTTGGGGTTTTTAGAATTTCTAAATGGAAATTTTTGTTGTTTTTTTTTTGCCTTTGTCTAATAATTTTTATAAATAATTTCCAAAATACAACAAAATAATAACTAATAATAATAAATTTGCAGCAGTTAGTACAATGATTTTAATCTCTTAATTTGTGCCATTCTGCTATCTGACGTCTTGGAGAATTACAAACTTCTTGCCAATGCAACTGGGCTGCACCTTCGAATTTATCTCCAAGTTCCAAATGTCCGATTACTTCGTTTTTAGTTACTCTATCCCAATCCAAGACTAAGAATTCCAAACTTATGTTTTCCAATCCTTCGTTATAAGGTACGTCGAAGACGAACGATTCGTTAAATACGGGATTAACTGTACGTTTCTTGACGTGTGTTTTCTTCTTCGCAATGCGTTGATTGTTGTAGAGAAGGTAGATTTTTACGTATGGATCTGTGCGTTAAAAAAAAAGAAACCAAAAGAAAATAAAAGAGTTAGAGCATTTAAAATTGATAAAGGTACGTCAATTTTGAAAGTTAGAACAAGGAATGACGTTGTTAAGCCACTCTAGAGATTTATACACCTCTCTAATGTGAAATTTATCTTCGTTAGAAAGATGGACTTACCGCACAAACCGGTTATATCCATCTTGGGGAGGTTTCTTGCTTTTAATACCACTACCGTCAATCTATTGGCTGCTGGTTGATAGCAGAGAGACACTAAAAGATCTCCACGTCCTTGGGATCGAACCTGAATAAAAAAAATATATACAAAAAATAAAAAATACAATATATTCTATAAGGAAATTAAAATTCTGTAATATATTCCTACATAAAATCTTTTCATGGCTAACTTTGATATCATTGGATTGTTGTTAAACATGGAGTCATGGAAGTATGGCTTACCTTAATGTTCCTGGGCATTATTTCCTTACTCAACGACATCTGTTTAGCCAAACAATCGAAATCTAATCCCGCCATAGGGCATATAACTTCGCCAATAACATCGTCCCGTGAATATCTATCGAAACTCAAAACCACAAAGTGTAGTGTGGTTGCCTGAAGCTGATTAGGATTGATCCCGTAGAATGTGAAATCTTCGTCGTAAACGGGATTAAGCGTTTTGCGAAGGACCCTAGTTTTAACTTTATGCTGTTTTTCGGGTAGAAGTTGTAATTTGACGTAAGGATCTGAAGTTCCCGCATTGGGATCTTTAGGAGGAATATCCGTGCAACGTACGATCGTCACCAATAGGGAATATTTCTCTGCTGTGTACTTTAAGCGGAAGTGAAGCTTTCCCAATTTCTTAACCTTCTCCTCTTCTACATCCTTCTCCTTATTCTCCACCTCTTCTGTGACGGGTGTTGGGATCTTGTCTTCTTCTGGTTCGTTCTCGATGTCGTTAGTTATGTCGGGGCAATTTTTATGCTTATCTTGGCTACATGTCGAGATTTCTGATGGTGATTTCTGCCCGGGAGATATACCATGACCCGGTGGACTAGGGCTCTTCTTCAATATGGGCCCTATAGGGCCACTACTCGGGCTCTTAACCGCTGTTGGTTTCTTTAAAACAATTGGTTTCTGACTGTAGTGTTTCTTACTCGATAGCAGTTTATGGCTAGTGTATCCGGATCGTCTTCGATAACAGAAGTAACTAACGGCTGCCAATGTTAATATAAAGAAGGCACTTCCCACACATATCCCAATAAGTGTAGGAGTTGTAACTACATGAAGAGAAATTCAAATATTTTAAATATTATTATCACTAAATAATAAAATATATATGAAGAATATTCTATAAAATAATATATATATAACGTATATATTCAATGTAATAATTTTAGTAACACTCGTGAATTTCCTTAATTTCAGTCATAAATCAATACTTGAATTAGTTGAATAATTTTCGTGCTGTCACAGCAAACTACACAAAGCTATAATAAGCACATAAACGGGAAAGTTCATTAAATTTTTCGAGTGAATTATCTTTCCGGATAAACGATTTATCTAAGTTTAATCTTTAAAAAAAAGATCAAAAAATTTCAAGCACAGGGTGACTCAAAAATCAGTTAACCATTGTACAGATTAATTAAATTTCCGGTTAATAAACTACTTAAACGAGTTCAAATTGATGAAATTCTAACAAAAAAACATAGTAAATCGACGTTTCGGCCTCTCTATTAAAGGAGACAATGACCCTGCGATAATGTAACATTTCATGCCGCGCACGTAATTGTTTACAAATTTAAATTATTCAATTAAATTTCAAAATTATTCACACTTTAAACGTAATTAAATTAAGATTTATAAGAGATTTCAAGTAAATTTTTTAAAATTTTATATAAAATAATAATAATAATTCGTGTACAAGACTCGAGAATTGCAATGTAATAAATTTATACAAGAATTGAATTGTGTAAAGAATATATAATTGATTAAAAATTATGCTGAGAAAAATCGATAAACTTGCTACGTTTAATTACAATGAACGTGATTAAAATGGGAAAATTATAATTAGAGAAAATATATAATGGAAAGTTATAATTACTTTTTAAACTTATTGTAATTAGTACCATTGTAAATTAAACATAAAGAATAAATCTTAATTTTCTTCTATATTTTTAAGTTATAATGCACCACTGGGATACAATCTAGAGGATCCCAGGTAATTGCCATTTTTGCCCACAGGATAATGCACTATGGGGCCGTTCTTGGGAGGTGTCCGTTATTGGAGGTTCGATCATATTTTTAGGATGTTGCTCTTTGTAGAATATCCAAGACGCTTTTGCAAGTACAATAAATGTATTACACTTTCGAGAAAAATCGATTGCATTTTACAGTTTATTGCAATTTTTAGAAGGGGTAGGAAAGAACAATTGTGTTTTTAATAGAAAAATCCTATTATAACATACATTGTATTTTCTTAGAAAATATCTATTAATTTATCAGAAAAATATTGCATTTTTAGGAAACTCTTATTATTTCGTTAGCAGATATTGAAATTTTTAGAGAACATTGATAGCTATTTATTATTAGAATATATTGCATTTTCTTGAAAAAATCCAGTACTTTTTTAAAAAAGACTATTGCATTTTAATATCTATTGTTGTTTATCGAATATATTGAAATTTTGGGAAAAACTCGGTTGAATTTTTCATCACATTTTGCAATTTAAAAAAAAATATCTGCCACTTAAATAACGATACGTTTTATACTTTTTTTTAACAGATATCTATTACTCTTTATGGAATTTACTGTATTTTTTTTAAGAAAAGTCTATTTTATTTTGCATTCTATTGCAAATTTCGGAAGATATTTATTGAATTATTGCATTTTTTGGAAAAAAGTCTGCTGTCTGACAACTACCTATTGATGCCATTGCATTTTTTCATTTTTCTTTTTTAAGAATCGCCTCTACTTGAAAAAAATATTTATTAAATTCTTTAAAAAATCTATTGTGTTTTTTTTGTNTATTTATTTAAAATTATATATTTTTATATCTAATAACGATTTTATCCTTTTAATTTTTAAAATTTATTCAAAAATTTCAATCAACAATTAGCAAAAATATTGTTATTTTCGATGTTATACGTGAAGGAATATTACATCACCGGAATTTTATAAAATTTTTAAAATATTTTATTAATTTTGTACTTTAATATGATTTTAACGTTTATAAATTCCTTAAATCACGAAAAAAGCTTTAAAAAATTATTCATTTTTATATAAAATTATACTATTCAAGTTTATGCACCTTCCTCAAGTAAGTGCATTAAGCTGCACCTAAGAACTTTTTAATGGTCATTTTCTTTCTAAATTTAAAGGGTAATTTATATTATTATCATTTTTATATACAGAAAATCGATCAGATTTTACTGTAAAATACCCTAAATTAAATTCGCACCATGCATAATTCAGTAATAAGGCACACATTCTCTGATAAACTATCTAGCATCACACGTTCGGTAAAGATTCGTATGACACATTAATATTAAAATAAATTCTTCTGTGACTCGCTTAAATATGCTTTATATACGTGCAAAATCGTCATAAATTTCTGATTAAACTTCCTCCTAATGCATATTTTAATTAATTTTTTTTCCTTCTTTAAATCCATTTTCTTTTCTGCACTGTAAGCACGCTATATCAGTAGAGTATTGAATAGAGGAGTCTGTTCAGCTGTCAGTTCTTTCTTTCTTGGAACGAATTTATCGTATGAAATATCATTCTGTTAGATCAAAGACATTGTCTGGTGTAGTCTATATTTCAAGGGATCAACGTCTCGTGTATATGTACACGTACATATACACGAGAACAGTTTATTCACCATGGAAAAAAACAACAGAAATTCCTTGTTAGAAACATCTAAAACACGCTTAAATTAAAAAAATAAAATAAAATGAAACGTTTTAATCATGTTAAAGATTAATTGATCCATGTAAAGTTTAAAGGAAAAAAAAAATTGTTTAAAGTATTCAACAATTTCTTTAAAAATTCTCATTAAAAATTCATTATAAAATAAAAAAAAATTCCCATTAAAAAATAGTCTAAAATTCTTTTAAATAAGCGTAAATGAAGACGTTAAACGTTTAATAAAGTGAATTTTTAATAATTAATTATAATAAATGGCCTCAAAATAATTTTTTTTAAGTGAAAACTCGTATCTGAATTCGAATTAAGTCATATAACGTATATTCAATGTAATAATTTTAGTAACACTCGTGAATTTCCTTAATTTCAGTCATAAATCAATACTTGAATTAGTTGAATAATTTTCGTGCTGTCACAGCAAACTACACAAAGCTATAATAAGCACATAAACGGGAAAGTTCATTAAATTTTTCGAGTGAATTATCTTTCCGGATAAACGATTTATCTAAGTTTAATCTTTAAAAAAAAGATCAAAAAATTTCAAGCACAGGGTGACTCAAAAATCAGTTAACCATTGTACAGATTAATTAAATTTCCGGTTAATAAACTACTTAAACGAGTTCAAATTGATGAAATTCTAACAAAAAAACATAGTAAATCGACGTTTCGGCCTCTCTATTAAAGGAGACAATGACCCTGCGATAATGTAACATTTCATGCCGCGCACGTAATTGTTTACAAATTTAAATTATTCAATTAAATTTCAAAATTATTCACACTTTAAACGTAATTAAATTAAGATTTATAAGAGATTTCAAGTAAATTTTTTAAAATTTTATATAAAATAATAATAATAATTCGTGTACAAGACTCGAGAATTGCAATGTAATAAATTTATACAAGAATTGAATTGTGTAAAGAATATATAATTGATTAAAAATTATGCTGAGAAAAATCGATAAACTTGCTACGTTTAATTACAATGAACGTGATTAAAATGGGAAAATTATAATTAGAGAAAATATATAATGGAAAGTTATAATTACTTTTTAAACTTATTGTAATTAGTACCATTGTAAATTAAACATAAAGAATAAATCTTAATTTTCTTCTATATTTTTAAGTTATAATGCACCACTGGGATACAATCTAGAGGATCCCAGGTAATTGCCATTTTTGCCCACAGGATAATGCACTATGGGGCCGTTCTTGGGAGGTGTCCGTTATTGGAGGTTCGATCATATTTTTAGGATGTTGCTCTTTGTAGAATATCCAAGACGCTTTTGCAAGTACAATAAATGTATTACACTTTCGAGAAAAATCGATTGCATTTTACAGTTTATTGCAATTTTTAGAAGGGGTAGGAAAGAACAATTGTGTTTTTAATAGAAAAATCCTATTATAACATACATTGTATTTTCTTAGAAAATATCTATTAATTTATCAGAAAAATATTGCATTTTTAGGAAACTCTTATTATTTCGTTAGCAGATATTGAAATTTTTAGAGAACATTGATAGCTATTTATTATTAGAATATATTGCATTTTCTTGAAAAAATCCAGTACTTTTTTAAAAAAGACTATTGCATTTTAATATCTATTGTTGTTTATCGAATATATTGAAATTTTGGGAAAAACTCGGTTGAATTTTTCATCACATTTTGCAATTTAAAAAAAAATATCTGCCACTTAAATAACGATACGTTTTATACTTTTTTTTAACAGATATCTATTACTCTTTATGGAATTTACTGTATTTTTTTTAAGAAAAGTCTATTTTATTTTGCATTCTATTGCAAATTTCGGAAGATATTTATTGAATTATTGCATTTTTTGGAAAAAAGTCTGCTGTCTGACAACTACCTATTGATGCCATTGCATTTTTTCATTTTTCTTTTTTAAGAATCGCCTCTACTTGAAAAAAATATTTATTAAATTCTTTAAAAAATCTATTGTGTTTTTTTTGTAAAAGATCTATATTGACGTANATATATTATATATATAATAAATCAAACTAAAAGTGAAAACATCCTAACTTGATTTTTCTCCCACAAAAGTAATTCTGAGCTTAGATAAATATTTACACAGTGTTCCAATATAGGAAGAGTGTTTCGATTTATTATGGTAAGAGCCTATTGTTTCTTGCTTTTAAGATAACAAAAAGCTTTCCATGCGCTTATTCTCTGAAAAAGAAAAAAACCCGAAAATTCGATTAAACTAAAGGATTTTCGCCCAAACTATGAATAATTGATGAGGAGAGAGATTGTTTGTTCACCTTTTCTCGCTTGATTCTAGACTTTTTCTACGTGTTTTCTGCGCCAAAAATATTCAAAATTCTTCAAAATTTTTTTAAAAAAAGTCTCGTTATATAATTCCGTAATTATTCTAAAGGCAAAATTTTAAAAGGTTAAAAAGATTTGACTTCGTATACACCGCCCACGGCATCGATTAGTACAAAGAATCGATTTTTGTGACGTAGGAATCGCGTACTTATTATAATAATCAATTTTTTTATTAAATATTTTTCGTATACGATTGTTAAGCGTCGATCTTCGGGGTGAAAGGTCGTTAACCCCGAGATCTGACGTCATAAGAGAAGAGAGTAATTAAGATTAGGTAGGACACGGATGCTTATGGCATACGTGTCATCGAATTTCTTTTTGTAAATGTATAGTGTGGATTGCATGTTGCAATTAATTTATAAAAAGGATCGATTTAAGCGTGAAGATTGCTGAAACGTTTAATATTAATGATATTTAATCAGCAAAGTTTATAATGTTGCCTGATCTATCAAGCAAATGGACCGTTACATCTTCAAATATATCTGCAATCGTTTAGAAAGTTATAGGAAAAAAGCTTTTTACTGATAATTTTAGAAATTCGTAAAAGAAAAAAAGCTCTTAAATAAAGTGCGAGGAAGAATATTCTTGACTTTTTTTTTTTGAGAAAAAATCAATAAAATATTTAATAGAAAGAGCCGCCAGAAATTCAACAGGAACGAAACTTTGATGCATAAAATTAACGAATTTTAAACATTAAATAATTGTTTAATAAAAATCATTGAAGAAAATCGAAGTTTTCTTCAACAAATCTATTCTAACAGATTCTAGACAAATCTAGATGATGATAGTTTCTGGATTTTATCAAACTTGAGCATGTTAAATCTTTCTATTTATATGTTTCATCGCACTAGCTCCAATTTCATCATTTTGTTTGCCTCCTGGATAGATTAGATTAAGGAAAATTGCTAAACATCAGATGTATCGGTTAAAGAATGCATGTTATCCATTGTTTCTAGGTTGAGGAAAAAGAATATGATATTTATTTGATTATAATTGGATTCTGTATCAGACTTCATAAATTAATTAAACGTCATCATTATTAATCAGTAGATAAGTGTTTCCTTTCCCAAATTATACCCTTTCGAAGTATTCTACTAGATAAATTTTTCTTATTAAATTCGATACCTTTAACCTTTTTTTAAAAAATATTAAAATATTAATTAAACATTAATTTATAAAATATCATTTTCTAATTATACAAATAAAAAAATCCATTCAATTAACGGATTTATTTTTTTTAAATGGATTATATTTTGTGTAATTTCCGACCGAGTTGAACAGTTATCAGAGCGGAAGTTTAATTTTTTAACATTAGTTTTAGTGTTTTATGACTGATCGATTGGTCGTAGAAGAAAAATCTAATATGGCTACCCTTATTCTATATCTTGATAATTAATTTCTTATATATACTTAATTCATTTAATACTGAATTATATAAAATTGTTAAATTAAACTTGTATAACTTCATATAAACACATGATTAAATTTTAAAGCTCTGTTATTGAGATAAATCCCGGTTATTTCTATGGCTTATACGGCAACAATTCCCCATTATCTTTGTAATGTAAGCTGTATCAATAAACAATTCTGTTGAAATTAATATTTTATTATGCTTCCCTGAGCATATCATCATTACAATGGTAGGTAGAGAAGTTATGCTGTTGATGTTACGCCATAATTTGGCTATTATACCTGTTTCTAAGGGATTAAAACATTTCACAAGACAATAAAACTGCACTTATATTCTTTATTTTATATAATATTAACAGATTAAGATATATACTTTTATCAGACTCTTCTACTTTATATAATAATCCATATTTTAGTTTCTATCTTGAATTTAAGCAGATTATATTTTAAAGTAATTTATATTACTTTAATATCAAGTATTTTATATAAAAATTCATTTTGATATCCAAGCTAATTAAGTCACATTAATAATAAAATTTATTCATTAAATATATCTTAAATAAACTTAGATAAGTAATTATAAAAAGTATTAAATACTTTATCTAAGTAATATTAATTACATTTTATTTTATTTAGGCTACTAAAATCATTATAAAATGATTTGTTTAAGAATTGTACATAAAATAAACTTTAATTGCATGCAAACTATCTGAATAACAACTCATTAACTATTCTAAACGAGGCGATCTTTTGATGTCATTAACTATTCTAAATATACTTATGATGTCATTTTGACGTCAAGATTATTCGAAACTGTTTTCGAGTTAAAGTCAAACTAATTATGAATAAAATAATAAATAAATGTTAAATTAAAAGAGTATACGCGAATGGATTCTTCGATTCTTTAAAAAAAAAATTTCAATCAAATTTAATCCTGCAAAGTTAAAACAAATTTTTCTAAATCACTTATTAATATGAAATATTAGATATACTCAAGAAATTTGCTTTGTTCTAAATTTATTTATAACTTAACTCGGGTTTTTTTGGTCGTAAAAATAAACCAAAACCAGTTTAATTCTCGTAGAACTTGAGAATAATAGTGACGTCTGAATCATTCTTTAATTCAAGTTTTTACAGATTAATGAGATTTTTCAAGGAGCACTCAAAGGAAATTAATGATTGCTATGTAAATGGAAACGCTTTATAGTAAAGTACTCTATAAAATGTGTGATAAAACGGCATAAAATCCAGTTTAAACGAAATAACAAGAAAACAATCTTATTCCCAGTTGTTTATTCAAGTTACTTTCTTGGAAACAAAGGATTTAAATTTACTTCAATTTTCTTAACGAATCGATGAATTTCCTTTACAAATCCCTTTAGTAAATATATTAATTGAAAGCTTATAATACATTGAATAAACGTTATTTTATTTTTATATTTTAAAGAAAGATGAAAGTAACTAATTCGCGAAGACACGTATAATTTATATTTTGGAATAAAATAAGCTTTTCAAGAATGTTTTTACACAAACAACACTATCAATCATTGCAGCAGAAGCAAGCACAGAGTGCTGCCACACAGAAAAAACGATTTATTTGTTGACAAAACACTTAAAACATTATTAAACATGTCTTCTGTTAAAGTAAAACTGCGCTATTCACAAAGCTAAACGACTTTAGTAACTTCTACATTAATTTAAAAAGATATCTTAAAAATAAATTAACTTAATTCACCGAAATTATTATTATTTTTGTACCGGTACGTGAAATAATTTACTAAAAATTTCCCCGCTAAACCGCGTAAAATTTTAATTACAAAAAGCATCTACCCCTGTAAATCTGTCTTCACCTCTTCAACGCGAGTATTGCCGTGAAGCCCATTCTCAAGATTTCTTCTTAAGCTCCGTGTATGGGCGTTTTAAAGCTTTTCCACGTATTTTAAATTGGTGTAGACTTTACCAGATGGCCAGAGAAAAAAGCCTTTAATGTTCACGTTATGTTAAAATAATCGATAGCCCGCATATTTAGACGTGTCCCAAATTATGTATAGATGATGATTAATATTAATGACTCATTCAAGAATATATATATATATATATAATTCTCTCCCCTCCACTAAAATATTATTCTTAATTTATAGAATAAAACTAGATCTAGATCAGTTCGTCCGCATTGCGAAATTAACTTATATTATCTCAATTTTTTTTATATTTTTTTAGTTTTCTTATCCTCGAAGGATGTTTTATATCATATAAAGGTTACACCATATGTTATCGTCTCGTCTATAATTCGAAGATTAATCTAATACACGTTACTTAAAAATCTTACCTTCGTCGACAGCTTTAATTTCAGGCCCATCTTTCAGATGAAGATTGGCGTGTGTAACTCCAAGTCTCATTTTTCCCCTTCAACTACATTACCAAGAGAGAAATGCTATATGTGGATAGTAATTGTTGAGGTCACTGCTGGATATGACGCAGACCTCCTCATACAGTAAACTCCCTCCGACTTTCGATCGAACCTTCTTCTGAGTCGCTAATAATAAGCATGCGCATTGGACATTTGTTAACAGTATACCCGCACTTTAAAGTTTCGTAATAAGTCGAAATATTGCAGATTTTTTTACGAATTTCCTGCCACTTGCAAGCTAAACAGTTAAATCTTCTTTAGAAAATAAAGGAATGATGCATTCTGACCGAATTCTATCGAATTTTTGCGCTTTTTCGTGCATTTATCTACTCTTTGCTAGGATATAGAATGCTAATAATGCGAGATTAAGGTGCTGATTTATGGGGATGCTCGTATTGAACGTCTCCAGTGAAACGTATGCAGGAGTTTTAATTAATAAATATCGGAGTAACGTCAATACACCATTGTTAAATGTCAATTTTTTATTCTTAAATTCTTCCTTACTAAAAAAAATCTTTCTCCTACATTTCATTTATTTAAAATAACAACAAGCAGAATTTAATTTTAATTAAAATATTTGCAGATATTCTGTAAGAGATTTTCTGTAAGATAATTTATCTTTAAATTTATATAATAATTTCTATTAAATCATGAGAATTAAAATTGTGCGTATAAATTAGATTTGTTGATTAAATTAATAAGTTTTAATAAATTAAAAATTTGCTTTAAAATTATTTCTATTTATAAATCTCTCCGGATATTAATAAAATAATTTAAATATTTTATGTAATTACCAATATTGATTTTAAATGACGCCAAAGTTATTTTGTTCGATAAAGATTTTCAGATAAATTTTTGTAGATAATAAAATTATCATTAGTTTTTTTTTCAATGTAATTTCTATAAATTTTAAAGAAATTTTTAGTGAAAGTTTTAATATTTAGTAACATCTTAATTTAAAATTGATACTTCAGAATGTTTTTCTGTATTCCTATTGAAGTATTATCTTAAAATAAAATGAGGGGAATGGTGACCAAGAAGCTGTAAATCATGTTTTATTGCACGGCATAAAATGTGGAATGGGTTGCTGCATCAGATCAAACAAACTGAAAGCAGTAAGTCATTTTAGTCACCTAAAGTAATAGACTTTTTTGGTTTATGTAAATCATTTTGATATTTGATTTAGTTTTAAAAAAGTTAAATTTATCATTATCATTATCATATTCTTTATCTTAACACATTCAGAATATATTTCTTTTATAATATAGTTTATTAAATATCAAGATATCTTCAATTTAATAATTTTAGAAACTAGAGAAAATAAAACTTAAAGTATATAATCCTCAGAACTATTTGAGAATCTAAAAAGATTTTTTAAAACTTATTAATTACGTAAGAAAATGTAAATAAAATATGATAAATTGAAATACATTNTATGTTTTATTATTATTTCAATATAAAAAGGAATATCATAAATTATAATTTGCTAAATATAAAACAAAACGATTTTGAAACAGGTAGCCAATAAACAAAATAATCAATGTCATTATCAACAAGCAAAAATTTAAATTAATTATTTAAGCATTACTAAAATAGAATAAATTCTTCTTTTGTTTTCTTCTTTAAATTAAATTTCATTCCTTTACGAATTAAACTGTTCAATAATGAGTTAATTGTAATCTATTTTTGTCTACAGATTACTATAAATTCTAGAGCTGTTTCAATGCATTTTTTTTTTGTATTGATCCGTTTCCTCTGCATAAAAAAATAATTATTGTGCCATTTATTTTTTATGGCTTTAAGATTTGTTAAAAATTAAATAATATTACAATTTTATGTTTTTATTAAAAAACTTTACCATAAAATAAATAAATTATTCCATAGAAATGTTATAATTGTTAAATGTTTTATAAATTATAAAGGACACCAAATAATCTGGGCAAAAATTCATTAATAATTTCAAAATTTACTTTATTAAATTTGTAAATTTAGTATTCTTCTAACAATTTCTGACCTATTTCTAAGAATTATGCCAAATGTAATCATTAAATATTATTGAAACTACTAGGTCACAATATATAGTGTGGCCTAAAATTCAATTGTCAGAGATATATTTTTAAGATAATTTTAAAAATGGTAAAAACCAATTTTGTTGTTACTTGTAATTCACTCACTTCATTCTTAAAATAATCTTAAAATATACCTTAGTTAACTGACTTTTACCATCCTGTATTTTTTCAGAAGAATATCTAAAGCCTACAAAGCTCTAGATAAAAATTGGAAGTTATTTTTGGATGCCTTTCATCTTCAGAAACATTTAAAATCACTGCTATTTTAAGTTTAGTATTTCAATTTTCATTTTCATTTATTTGCAGAGACCTGAACAGAATCCTTTCATGTACAGATCCTTAAGCAGTCTTTTACTTCTCTACATTTAGAAATGCCTATAATTTTTTATATTTATTGTTATATATGTGTATAATCTTTAGAGAGGTTTTACAGATAATACAAGACACAAAACAAAGAAAATAACATTTTAAAATTGAAGAGTAGACATGAAGGGCCTAAGTACCAAAATTATGATTTTTAGGAAAACTGATTTTATTGTTTCTTGAAGCATGAGTGAGTTAGATGGGTCATGATGTCTTGGCCATAACGAGCAACTTCCAGATTTTTCCAGCACGAGGATCCTATACTGTTCCATTGGCAAAGACATGCACCACACGTTGGCATCATTATCTCACTTTACATTTTTATGATACTTAAATCCTTATATACATCCATGCTTCAATTATAAAAGCTTAACAATATCAACATGTTATAAGTGCAGAATAATTACAGAACAGTTAAAAAAAAATAACGTGTACCATAAAACACAATAATTTAAATAATTCAATAAATGAAATATGGAGAAATTGATATAAAATGTGAAAATTTAGGAGCTGAAACAGTAGAAATGTCTGAAAAATAATTACAAATAAAAATTTAATTTCTAAAACACACATCAGAATTTTAAACAACAAACATTTAAGCAGTCAAAAACCAACAAATTATTATAAAAATAAACATAGAAAAAATTGTTTTTTTATGTTATATAATGGGTTGTGTTGTTATCATGTTATATATAAAAGAAGGAAATGATTAAAATATAACTTGAAATTTAATTTATTTATATCTCCTTTTTAACGAATTTATCTTATCACCAGATTATGAAACTGAAAAATGTGCCTAGAAAAAAAATGGCATATTAAAAATAAAGCTTTTAATAACTTCTTGTTTATTATTAAAATAACAAATACACTTTGAAAATATTTATTTTAATATCCTCTTTACTCTGTCTTAATCATTACAGAAGATACTAAAAATAATCTATTTATATGAATAAGTAATATTATTATTGTAATAAGTTTTATCTTTTAAACTAAAAGCATTTTCGCATTAAAAAAAATAACAATATCTACATTTTTATTTATTTATCAATTCATCTATAATGATCTTCTTTTCTCGGTATTTCCTAATTACGAAGTTTCTCCTCCTCCGAAAATTTCCTTTAATCTTAGCCACTGTTCCTCTTTACTCATTATATCCTTATCTGTTAGTTTTTTCACATTAAATTGATTTATACAGAAATTCTTTTTTGCCAAAGAGTATTTTTCACTCTGAGAAAAAAATAATAATTCATTTTTGAAAAGAAGCTGTTGTTGTTAGTCCTTTGAGTAATAACAACTGTAATGTTAATTTGAAGATAAATAATTTGATTTGTATGGAAAGTGATACATATTTCTAGTATCAAAATTTTACAATTTTATTTAAAATGCCATTTTAAGTGAGTTATAATAAAATTAATTTTTATGGAAGCTGTCAAATTACAATTATGTTTTGGTTATAATATCAAATAATCAAATTTCCTTTATTCCGATCCGTGAGAGAATTTCAATTATTAATTTTATTTTATTCCTATAGAAATTGTATATATTTTTAAGAAAATGATTCAATTGTTTAATAGCTTGGAGCCATTTATGACATATTTGAGAGTGACAAATGTTAATATAAAACATTTCATTAACAACCGTTTAAAAGTAATTAAAAAAATAATTTCTTAAAAGAATATAGTTTAATTATATACTAATTTATTATTAATTATAAAAGTTTATATGATTGATTCCAATATAAGTAAGATAACGAGTATGTCAACAATATCAAATTTTGAAAAGTGAAATGAACTTGTTATAAATTCACAAAAGTTCTTCAAATGAATGTAAAAATTTCAAAATTATTTTAAAAATAATTTTATATTAACTGTTGTATTGACAAGAGAAATATATTAATATATCAAATATAATAAACAAGAATGTTTTCCATTTCTGAGACTCTGAATACTGTAATTAAGGTAATGATCAGTGAAATTTAGATTTTAATTTTGAATAATTTGAAAAGATTAGATCAATTACATTAATTACTTTTGAGATACTTTAATTTATTTCATTTAAGAGTTATCTTAAAATTTATTGATAAACAACACTACACTTCACATGAAAGTCTAGTTTCGACTTTGATTTACATGTTTATATATAACTTGTCTTTGGATATTTAAACAACCTAGAAATCAAAATATAAATCTTAAAAATAAGATTTGGGTTTCCTGCAGAGTCTTAAATTTTAATCTATTTAGTATTTTCGAGGAGAAAATTCTCTCATCTTCAGGTTTGATCATTCTGAAGATGAGAGGATTAACTTTTAAGGAGACTAAATAAATTAAAATTTAAGACTCCTGAAAGAAGGCCATTTGTCACTTTTAAAAATTAAATTATTAGGAGTAATGAATTCGAATTAAAAAGAAAAAATTTAAATACTTTTAAGATAAAATTTAACAAGGCCTTACATATATTAATACTGAGAATCAATATATTTTTTGATTATAAAAATCAATCATTTAATAAAAATTGTATCTATCAGGGCTTTAAGGAATCATAGATACTTTCTGAACCACTCAAAATTGTAATATATGCAGATGTATAAATAATTTTTATACATTTTTAGTTATAATCTATAAGAAAAAACATAATTTTAAATTGTTCTGAAGATGGACAATTTCTAAAAATAGTTAGTCTC